CATTTTGTACCTCAGGTTTTTTTCCCGACAGTTTTTGTGGTCATTCATATTGTACATGTAGATAGGTGACATGTACATGTACATGTACATTGTGTAGAATTCTAGCATTGTCTGTTCTAAAACCTAAAATGTAAAATGCACAATTGTATGCAAGTACTATTTATCTTGTACGACAGGTTGTGTTCATCACTGATGGTCCGTATTTGTAAATGTTATTACCAGTCATCAGTCAAATCACACATTATCGCAAACTATCCGCAGACACCAATTTCTTCAGATGAAGATAGAGCACATCCATGGTGACAAATATGCAAATATGCGGACGCATAAATATGTACCTGCGGTCTGGGATGTAAATTCACACTCCTTGCGATGATTCACCTGTTTATCGCAAGATGCCATTAACACGGTTGAGACACTCCTCATTCCAGACGCATACAATCTGCATGTTATCTAGAGCATCAGTAATGTCCACCCAGGATTCTTGTTAGGTTTCTTAATTTGGATATATTTTTGAAATTGATACCTTATATACCCTGTGGGCCACTTTCGTGTAGGAAACAGGCAACCCCTTTTGTCCTTAGTCAAATTCATCTAGTCAATATGAAAAACAGTTGATATTATTTGTTGTAGCTTTACATTGCACTCTATCGTAATCGTGAAATATATGTAAATGTGCACTTAAAGAAAATAATTTATAGTTTAAAAAAATCAAAGAACTTTAATGAACAGTCTTTCTGTTCTAGTGGGGTTATACACCACCAACGCAACGTGCAGTTGGTTGCACATCTTTGGGGCCTGAGTTTCCTCCTGAAGTTAATGGTCATTTGCCTCCTTTTTTTTGCATCAGAAGGCTACAGAAATGTTGGTTAAGAAATCATAAAACATGTTGATATAAATTTTGCTTTAATAAGATGTTCATGTACTGTGCCTATTCATTTCAAATTTGGTGGACAAATTGCAACATGAGGTTGGCTTTGTTAAGAGAACATTATGCATCTTCCAAATTGAAGTGATCTGCTGGAAACAGAAAGTAAACCTGCACTACCGGTATTTTATAAAGTGGAAAGAAATTGAATCATCTTAAAAGTTGCACTTTCGATGGAACATTACCGATCCCTTTCCTTTTGATGGAAGTGCAAATTTCATACCCAAGGCCAATTTGCCAATTACATGTATTTGAATGGCGAGGCAGGTGTTTTTGTCTTCCGTGGGATTGATTTAGCTACTCCCCCGCCGCTATCAGTATGCTAGCATTCGTCTTTATCGTCCTTTGTCATCAGTAGGCTGGTACCGTTGTCCGGTCCGTTGCCAGGTCTCTCGTCTCGCTTCAGAAGCCTGCAGGGGGTTCCTGCCTGGCCACGTGATATTTGATCCTGGGCGTTGGGCTCTGAATATACATCAGAATCAATGGCGGTTGCACAGAAAAATAAGAGTGGTCCCAACTTGTCGCCAGTCGGGGACCGGTTTGGCGGACTCTGCGTACCATTTATAGAGAATCTATCCTAATTAAAGCAGAATGATTCTGCTTACGGTACTAAGACAGACATTTATTTCATGGTGTGAAAGGACATTTGGCATTGTATAAAGTATGGATTTTGTGCTTACAAGTGCAGATTTTTTTTGTGCCAGCACTGTAAGTGGACTCGTCCAAGAGGTGCCAGGCATAGTATTGGGTGGTCACCACGGCAGACTTGGTTAGGCAGACAGAGGTGTGATGAGCAGTGGAGATGAAAGTCTGAAAAAAAAAACCCCTGATTTCTTTCTCTGGGGAATTAAATAGCGTGACTTATTCACACGAAAACGTGAAAATATTACAACGTAAGAACCTGTTAGGTTTGTTAAAGGCAAACCCATGCTGAAAGAAAAACATGGACCCTGTTGTGGGAAGGAAATGTACATGTACATGTATGCACAATGTACATGTTTGCTTGTACTTATGTAAACAATAGTTAAATGAAGACTCATGAATGCTTTCGCAAGTATAATGCGCGTAATTCCTGCTTCTTTTATTTTTTGCCACTGAAGACAGTTTTTATAGGGTGGAATGACACTGAGTATTGAAAATCAAGTGCTACATGTATGTGCCGCAATCTTGAAAACAGGACAATGTTGCACATCCGAATATAGTGTCTTACAGAATATACAACATTTGAAAAACATCAAAAAACAAAACTACCAAATGTTTACGAAATACCTTAGGATGTTGGTAAATGACAGTCTTAAGCATCCTGTAAAATTATGGCACCTGGTGTGAAGTCATTTTCAAGAAAAGTGGTATTTTTGTATAAATTTCCAACGGTGGTCGGCCGACCACCGTTGAAAAAACCTAACTATTTTTCAACTACTGCTCCTTAGTCCTAATTTACCATTTCTTAAATCCAAATTTGGTTTGCTATTTGTTACATGTTCATGAACGGGTGCAGGCTAGCAAGACTGGTTCCCTTACCTTACAATTTTCCGGCATCTATACATTGATCCATTTCATCTTTAGTGGAATCAGGGAACCAGACTACTTGAACAGTTTTGTTTTGCTTGTTTTTTTCAGCATTTTCGAACACAAAACTTCAAACATGTCGGTGTAACAATATTTTATCTATTATACTAACCCTTCAAATAGTTCATTTCTGAAAATTACAACGAAAGCCAATGATGTACATTCTCTTTAAAGTCTGGGTTTGATAGCGTTTTGTGCCAGCAAGTGTAAGCACACAGTGGGACTATTAGTGTGGAATTCCATGGTTAGCAGAACTAGCAGAGCCATGAAATCGATCCCTGGTCTTGAATTCCTTCTGTCACCAACCCAATCAGGATATTTTTCACCCTTTGTAAATTGCGCGTTTGTGATGATTGCACAGGAAGATATTGGAATTTCATGTGAATAGCAGCGAGTCAAGCAGGTACTGGAAGCTGTCTTAAAGGGAAGATACAACATTTGCAAACATCAAAAAACGAAATGATCAAATTATCACAAAATACCTTCTGAACTGTTAGGGAATGACAGTCTAAAGCATCCTGTAAAATTGTGGCTCTTGGTGTGCTGACATTTCAAAGAAAAATTGTATTTTCCAACGCTGGTCGGCCGACCAGCGTTGGAGAAAACTGGCTTTTTTCAAAAACTGCTTCTAAGTTTTCATACCGTATTTAGTTATTTCGCATTTTCTTTGCAATTGATTACACACCTGTGAAAAGGGTACAAGCCTGCTACATGTAGACTGATTATCTGACCTTACAATTCCCCAAAGTCTTTAAATTGCTTCGTTTCATCTTAAGTGGGGTCAGGGAACCAGACTACAGGAACATGATTGGTTTTCCTGGTTTTTCCAGCATCTACAAGCCCAAAACGTGACACGAGTCAGTTTAACAATATTTTCTATCACATACTAATCTCCCAAATCCATTTATGTTGGAAAATTTCAGCAAAAGCAAATGTTGTACATTCCCTTTAACAGCTCAAACGTCTCTGGCTTTTGATGTTTCCATTTTTTTCCCCCTCTGCCCTTTTGCATTTGAGAGAGGTGCAAATGAATTCAGTCGGTGACTGATGTATTCAAAGGGCACCGGCTGCATCAGTCTTGTTAATTTCAAACCTCAGTAATCCATTTTGTTCCCCCTTCGTCCTGTCTGGATCTGGATGTGTTCAGTAATATGGCACCTGTCAATCATGCCGGTTTTGCGGGGTGAAGAACTTTACATGAGTGTGTCGTGGAATATTCAGGGCGAGTGGACTCCCGTCTGTAGATTGACAATATTTATGAAGTTGGCATTTAAAACACATCAGAAATTAAACTATGAATAGTTCTTTAAAGAGTTTGTGGAATGCTCGAAGACATTTCCGTCATTTTTTGGGTATATGTAACCTAAGGTGTGATGAAATAAAAACGACTATTGTGTCTGTCATGAAATGAGTACAAAAGGTACTTTTGAGAGCTGTTTTTCAGGTCCTGTTTCGACCCGAACGTGCAATTTGTGTAAAAGTCGTCGTAGGGGGCAGCAAACAAAACATAGTAAATCGTGACGTAATAAACAGGACTCCCGATGCAGCGTAGTATAAACGAGTCCTGTTTATTACGTCACGATTTACTATGTTTTGTTTGCTGCCCCCAACGACGACTTTTACACAAATTGCACGTTAAAATTCGAGAAAGAACGTCGTCGTCCTCAAGAGAGTTTGCCCAAATTTTCAGTCTATATGTACCGGGTAGATCCATTTTAGCTTGCTTTTGGTTGTACAGTACAATACATTGTACATGACTCTCTCAAGATAAACCCAGCCATATTCATCATGCCTGCTATTATTTACGGGTACTCTCAGTGGACTTGCTATTATGTATTGTGTTATTTTGCAACTCATTCTAGATTTCCCTTTGCCATTAAAAGTCATATCTCCAGAGAACTATTTTTGGCTACAAAAATATTACTTAAAAATAATATGAACTTTGCATTAATGAGGCCAGAGAATTGATCAATGTTTTCACAATGGACCAGGACAATCCATGTACATATTGCAGATTGTGGTGTATTCATATTTAGTAGTTCATTCACATGCGCATCCATTGTTACTTGCTGTTATCAATCACTTAAAAAGAATCCCTTCAGGAGTTGACTTCATCTTACCATGGTGTTTTTAGGATTTATCACTTGATGAGAAATCTGTGGAAAAAAAAAGTTTGCATTTAAATTCTGCCCGAGGGCCATCAAGTACGGTACGCTAACGTTTATTTGTCTCCTCAGTCATGATTGAGTTTCCTCCAAACTTATTCTCTGGAGTTTTTATCCATCCACTCTGTTGGCTTGGAATCTCTTTTGTGGATCTTGTAGACCTGACAAATGTGCTCCGTGGGGAAGGATGGTGATTTGAGATAAGGTGGCAGGAAGAAACGAATAAATGAATTTCAAATGACCGCCAGGTGCTGCTGTAACAAACCTAATACATTCGACTCAAATTATTGCTCTGTTTCTTAAACTCCTTTCTTTTTTTCCCCCACTTTGTCTTGTAGGTGTGTGAAATGCACGTAGCCGGCTACAACTTTGCCGTGCTGGACACTGCCTTTCTCATCCACAAGGGCTTCAAGGAGAAGTCGGCCTACCACGCCCACAAACTCCAAGAGAACCGGCGGAACAAGGAGCTGTTTCTCCACTTTCAGGAGGAGCTGAAGGTCAAGTACCCGGAATCGTCCAAGAGGTGCCAGACATAGTATCGGGCGGTCAGGTGGCACGGCAGACTTGGTGAGGCAGACAGAGATGTGATGAGCGGTGGAGATGAAATGATGGGGAAAACAACCTGATTTCTTTCTCTGGGGAAGTAAATAGCGTGACTTGTTCACAAAAAAGTGATAATGTTATAGTCTACGAACTTGTCAGTTTGTTTAAGTATTAAAGGCAAACCCATGCCAGACGAAAATGTGGACCCCTACATGTACATTGTGGGAAGCATACCCGGTATGTACTGTACATGTGTACACGTATGTACTGTATGCTTGTATAGCATACATGTTTAAAACAATAATTGAATGATGACGCACAACTGTTTTCACAAATTTTAACTCTCTTGCTATCTGAACAGTCACAGGCAATCAGAAAATCAATCGTCTTGCCCTGCTATACTTTTAACACAAAACAGATCATATTTCAAGCAAGCACTGTGCCTAGCGAAATTCAGTCAACAGACAAAAACAGGCAAGTGGCAGACACAGCTGGCTTATGTGTATCAATCACCTACAGTCAAAGCATGGCTGTGTCTAGTTACATAAACAGTCACAGCCAGTCAATCCTGCTTTATGTACTGTAGGCTGGGAGCTCTTAACTGATGAAAACAGAATTTGATTGATTTTGTTTGAAAGGACAACTTGGCACAGAATGTACATGTATATGACATTCTTGCCACAGAAGACAATTTTCACAGGGTGGAATGACACTGAGCATTGAATTACATGTAGTTTTTATCACGTGATATTATGCTAAATGTGCCACAATCTTGAAAACAGGACAGTGTTGCACATCAGAATATTATCAAATTAGGTTTTGCCCTTCACCGATGTATAAACACTGTATACTCAGTGTGTTACCTCCCAAGTGAAAGTTGGAAAAAATCACTCGGGTGGGACTCGAACCCAAGACCTCCTGATTTCTAGTGCAGATGTCTTAACCACTCGACCACCGAGCTAACGGGATCGGTTGGCTGGTTCGAATCCGAATATTGTGTTGTAAAGTCTGGGTTTGACATTCTCGATTCTGACAAACCTGGCATTGTTTTGAGAAATAATGGAGAGAAAAAAGTGACATATGTGATGTCTTGTGACCACACCCTTCACTCTTGACTTCATGAACCCAAAACAAGCAGTCGGGAGAGAGAATTCACAGTCCGATATCAGCAATTTGATATTAACTTGCGTGGGCCATGGACCGTGCTTTTTTAAATCGATCCTGAGCTCAGTTTTAAGGCTTGTTAATTAAAGTGCAGCCACAGATGGAGCCATTTGAACTATTTGCTCCACGGTCTGCTAAACATACAAAGTAATAATGACTAACTTTGCCGCTACGACCCGTCTGCATCTGACGCATGCATATCCCACTGCAAATCATCCCCAGCTCGCCGCACATCTTTATTTATTTATTCGTCTTATTGATGAATTCCTAACAAGCAGACCTCGGTCCAGGAAATGAAATACCTCCGGCTCGACCTTTAAATTAATTAGACAAGGTGCAGTCCATCAAAAGAAAAAAGTGCAACACCCCCCCCCCCCTCCATCTCGTCTCTTAAAAGTCAGGGAAAAAATTGCTTGTATAGTTGGCAAATTGATGAGGCATGCGACTCCGGACCTGTCGTGGATTACTTCCTCCGAAAAATAAACAGAAGGCTCGGAGTTTATTTTGTCGGCCACAACACATGAATGTTGGGGCCAATTATTCATCACACATCCTGGAGTGATCAGTTGCGGCAATTCTTTTTTGTTTGGTTTTTTGTTTTAACGATGATTGGAACAGGGGATGGTTTTGGAGGGGAAGTAAGGAACTGATTATGGTGAAACCAAAGAACGGAGTGTGTCTGATTATTAGCTGGGATGAGTTGTACAGGCACATTTTTTTCTTCAAGAGATTGGTTGTCGAGAGATTTTTTGCTTTGGCATTCACAATGTGAGGAAAACTCAAAGAGATGTTCTTGCGTTAATTTTTTTTATTTTATTTTTTAAGAAAAAGGAAAAATGAACCAAAAAAAAAAATTCTTACAAGTAAACTATAACATATGAATGCATTGCTAATCTACAACTCTTTAAAGCAATTAAAACAGAGAAAATGAAAAATTTTGTTTGGTGGTTTGTTTTATTTCCGTGCACCACAATGAATGCATAAAGATATGTAATTTAAAGGATATAATATACCGAAGGTGGCGAATGGTTGATACCAGGCAAAAGCCAAGGCTGTCGCCTGGAGCAATGTTTTGTATTTGTCATTAAGGTGAAGACAATCACATAGGGGCCAGTTACATTTCTTTCTTCACATGTATATTGACTTTTTTTTTATTGTTAACAACTTTCATATCTATTAGTCTTTTCTATCTGCCCGTCAGTGCTTTCTCACTGTGTATTACCTTGCATAACTTTGATCTAAATATTGGTTTTGTTGAATTTTTACCCAAAAAGTAGTTATACATGTAGAAAAAGCTTTATTCACATCAAATGTGTAGCTGTGACAATCAAAATGAGTATTCAGATATGTTTTAAAAAAAAAGTCTAAAAGATTTTGTATTTTTCAAATTGTTTTTTTTTCTTTATTTTTAGTTTGTACAGCTCATTATAAGCCCGTCTTGGGTTTGACCTTTTGAAAAATTACTGCATGGCTAGTTTTTCGATGTTCAGAACTGCATTCATATTTGTAATATGTATTTACAAAAAGTCATGTATGCTTATCGTGTTATTTACCGTGCCATTGAAGTACAACCATTACTTGGACTATTGGTGAGACGTTCACACTTACACCCGTTTGTACACGGGACGGCTGCAGATTTTGGATTTTGGATTTAACCCACGTAGAACTCTAGACCTGCGTAGAAGCCTGGGGCCGATTTCACGAAACGCTAAGACGTGTATTAGGAAGGGTAACTCGTCTTATCTCGCGACTCGTCCTAGGATTGATTTCACCAAACTTAAGACGTGTTCAATAACTCGTCTTATCTCGCGACTCATCCTAGGATTGATTTCACCAAACTTAAGACGTGTTCAACCGGGCTGAACTCATCTTAACTTGGTCTTAGGGTTGTCTTATCGCAGGAATAGTGTGTTAATTTGGATATCCTGTGGACATCATTGCAATGTCTTCTCGTTTAAGACGAGTGTTGGCCTAGAGCCATAGTTTCAAAGGAAAAAAAACGCTGTACCGGAAGAAACAGATTTGAAAAGATTTCTGACACATGGGTAGTTTGAATGAAAATAACATGTTCACAAAATGTAATTATACATGTACGCCAACACCTAGTCGACTTCAAAAAAAAGGAAGGACTTTAGGTTTTCGAAATAGAATGATGAACCGGGGAGTACAGACATTTTCCAGTCGAAAGTTCCTGTTCTATGCACACACGCAGGAAATTGGTTTTGCTAATTGTTTCTTTTCAACGACTGTTTAGTCAAGCGTTAAAAACAAACATGAAACAGCCATCAAATTGGTAATTTTGATGTGTCTTGCTTAAGATGTGTTCAGTGAAATCAGTCTTAGGACGTGTCTTAGCTAGGATTGATCTCAGAGCGGGAACTCGTCTGTAAGGCCTAAGATGAGTAGCAAGATGAGACAGGTTTTGTGAAATCGGCCCCAGGTCTAACAAGGAGATTTATGGTAGGGTGAAAGGTTCTTTAGTTCACAGAATATTGCGTTCTTAGCAGTGTCATTGTTCCCTGGTACTATGCGAGGTTGATGTGTGTTGATACTGACATGTATGCCTTGTTGGAGATGCATTTGGTGCTTAACCCGAAGGACAATAATACAACATGCTGTAAACTTTACTGGAATATGTAAGCCAGTTAGCCTCAATCTTTTCTACCGACATATCAAGTCTTTCTCTTTAGATACATGTAGGTGTTGCAGCAGCAACAAAATCTTGATGCTTCAAGTGTTTTTCTTGCCGATTGTACAGGGTGAGTCAAAAAAAGTGGAACCCAAACCCCAAACAATATATTTCATATTTAACAAAATATGTAGCACCAAAACTAATAATGACTGGAAAGCCAATTTCAAAAGCTACTTGTAGATGAAAAAATTACTGAAATTGCTCAATCCGTTCAAAGAATATCAACATTTAAACGCAATGACCCTAAAACCTGTCTCGTCCAAAAAAAATCAATTTATTGTGTGTTTTGACTGTTTGGAACAACAAAGAAAATCACACAGAATACTTGTTCCAACAACTGTCACCAACTATAGTACACAATATCTTTATTAACAACCCTGGTTAGGCAAACAATATGATTTATAAAATCTACTTTTTGAAAAGACGGGCCTTCAAAAGGACTTTGTTGCATATTGTTAACGTTTAAACTAAGATTTCATCGCTGGTGATGTTTGAAGACAATTGTGACGACGATTGTTGAAATCGCATTTTTGGACGAGACAGGTTTTAGGGTCATTGTGTTTAAATGGTGATATTCTTTGAACGGATTGACCAATTGCAGTAATTTTTTCATCTAAAAGTAGCTTATGAAATTGGCTTTCCAGTCATTATTGTTTTTGGTGCTACATTTTTTTTAAAATATGAAATATACTATTTGGGGTTTGGGTTCCGCTTTTTTTGACTCACCCTGTATATCTACAATGCATTTTTGCAACTTTCTAAAAAATTGTTCAATTCATTTTGTTGTGGCTGAATCATAGTTACAGTGTCTGCAGTTCTTAAGCCACCCCTAATACTGTCTCTGTTGTGTTGAGGATCGACTTTATCACTGATTCCATATTGCACAGTTTAATAATAGTGCTAAGTTTAAAAGGGCTTTAATTGCATTGGGCAGCTCTCCCTCAAACAAAGTGTCCTGTTGCAGTTGCCAGGATTTCATGGAATATTATTCTAGTGGCAAGTTACCATAACATTGTTCTTCCAAAACACACACACAGACAGAATCCAAGTATTTGAGGAACACTTCATTTGGACTCTCCCAAATGAACTTCCGGCCATAAATTCTTGATAACTTATTCTAGAAAATTATGCCCCTACCAAAATGAGAGGTGAAATAGCTAATAATATTTGCTGTTCTGTTGAAGTGGCTTACTTAAGCACCCCTTATCTTTATGCATTTGTGTCCATTCAGTGTCCTCAATGTTAAAAGCCAAAGTGCAGTACTCTGCACGG